AATGAAATGAAATAAAATTTTATGAAATGAAATGAAATGAAATTTTATGAAATGAATTGAAGTGATATGAAATGAAATTTTATGAAATGAAATGAAATATTATGAAATGAAACGGAATTATATGAAATGAAATGAAATTTTATAAAATTTTATGAAATGAATTGAAATGAAATGAAATTTTATGGAATGAAATGAAATGAAATAAAATGAATTGCAACTTTATGAAATGAAATGAAATGAAATCAAATTTTATGAAATGAAATGAAATGAAATGAAATTTTATGAATTGAAACGAAATGAAATTATATGAAATGAAATGACATGACATGAAATGAAATGAAATTTTATGAAATGAAATGAAATGAAATGAAATTTTATTAAATGAAATGAAATGAAAGGAAATGAAAGGAAATTTTATGAAATGAAATGAAAAATTTTATGAAATGAAATGAAATTTTATGAAGAAGAATTGATGAAATATGAATTGAAATTTTCTGAAATGAAGGTAAAATGAAATGAATATTTATGCAATTCGAACATTTTATGAAATGAAATTTTATGAAATGAATATGAAATGACAATTCTTATGAAATGAAATGAAATTTTATGAAATGGAAATGAAATGAATGAATTGCAATTTTATGAAATAAAAATGAAATGGAAATTTAAATGAAATTTGATGCAACTGAAATGAAATGAAATTTGATAATGAAATTATTGAAGCTGAAATTTATGAAGTGAAATTATTATTGAATAATGAAATTGAAATGAAATTTTTATGAAAGAAATGAAATTTGTATGAAGTGGAAATGAAATGAAATTTTTATGAAATGAAATGGAAATGAAATGAAACTCTGAAATAAAAAGAAAAGAAATGAAATGAAATCTTATGAAATGAAATGAAATAATGACATTTTTATGAAATTAAATTTTTATGAAATGAAATGAAATGAAATTTTATGAATTGAAAATGAATTTTACTCTATGAAATTTATGAAAATGAAATGAAATGACAGATTAATGAAATGAATTAATGAAATGAAATTTAATGAATGAATGAAATAAAATGAAATTTTTTTGAAATGAATTGAAATCGAAACTGAAATGAACTTTACAGAAATGAAGTAAAATTTTTATGAAATGAAATGAAATTTTATAAATGAAATGAAATGAAATTTATGAGGTGAAACTTTATGAAATTAAAGGATAATGCAAATGAAATAATTTGAAGAAATGAAGATGAAATGCAAATTGACTGAAATGAAATGGTTAATGTAATTTCATGAAATTTTGTAAATGGAAATGAAATGATTTCATGAAATGAAATGAATATGAATGATTTCCCTGAAAATGGAAATGATTTTCCCTGAAATGATAGTGTGTGGATTGGAGTGAATAAATGATTTCCCTGAAATGAAGATGGAGATGATTTCCCTGAAATGAAAACGAGATGATTTCACTGAAATGAAACGAGATGATTTCCCTGAAATGAAATGAGGAATATTTCCCTGAAATGAAATGATTTCCCTTGAAAATGGAAATGATTTCCCTGAGAATGGAATGGTTTCCCTGAAATGGAAGTAATTTCCCGGAAATGATTTCCCTGCAAATGATTTTCCTGAAATGAAATGAAATGAAACGGAATCGCATTTCATTGAAATGAAATGAAATGAAATGATTTCATTGAAATGAAATGAAATGATTTCATTGAATGAAAGGTGAATGATGTTCCTATGACATGAAAAGAGAAATGAAATCATATCATTGAAATGAAATGAAATGATTTGCACTTGAAATGAAATTTTATGAAAGGAAATTTTAGAAATGAGATAGAAATTGAACATTTTATGAAATGAAATGAAAATTTTTATGAAAGGAATTTCATGAAATAAATGAAATGGAATTTATGAATGAAATGAAAACGAAATTTTATGAAATGATTGAAATTTTAT